CTCCCTCCCTCTCTCTCCCCCTCCCTCTCCCCCTCCCTCTCCCTCTCCCTCCCTCTCCCTCCCTCTCCCTCTCTCTCCCTCCCTCTCCCTCCCTCTCCCTCTCTCTCCCTCTCTCTCCCTCTCTCTCCCTCTCTCTCCCTCTCTCTCCCTCTCTCTCCCTCTCTCTCCCTCTCTCTCCCTCTCTCTCCCTCTCTCTCCCTCTCTCTCCCTCTCTCTCCCTCTCTCTCCCTCTCCCTCCCTCTCCCTCCCTCTCCCTCCCTCCCCTCCCTCTCCCTCTCTCTCTCTCCCTCTCTCTCTCTCTTTCTCTCTCTCTCTCTCTCTCTCCATCTCTCTCTCTTTCGCTCTGCAATTCATAAGAAAACGCTCACCCGAAGGTCTCAGGAAAGTCAATTCGACGAGATAACAGCTTGAATAGCAATACGAAGACCGCGTTTCGTTTATTTGTGTTGTACTTGCAATTGCACGGGTTTTCAGGGACGGAGTGAAGTGAAGGCCATTTCTCTTTTTTTCGTTTTTTTTCAAATTTAGAAGGAGAATAAAAAAAAGAACAGGAGGATAGAAGGAGAATAAAAGCACTTTTGGGAGACTGCTTCGGGCAAAAAAGTGGTCTTTCTTAGGAATATGTAAAAAGGAAGGAAGGAATGAAAGAAGGAGGAGGAGGAGGAGGAGGAGGATGAAGTACAAGGACGAAGTAGAAGAAGATGAAGGATTAAGTAGAAGAAGAAGAAGTAGAACATGAAGGACTAAATAGAAGAAGAAGAAGAAATACAAAAGCAGTATATATAGACAAAAAGAAAACAAAAACAAAGATGAATATTTTTAAAAACGAACGTGAAAGTATAGAAAAGGGGCCATAAGGAGTAACTCATTTAATAATTCAAACCACACGCTCCCCCCCCCCTCTCTCTCTCTCTCTCAATAGGTATATTCTAATCGCATGAGGTTCATATGTTATTGTAATTTATTTATGTGTCCTTCGTTGTCTTTGAGTCTCGTGTGAGAGGATTAACAGTCATTTTTCTTTCCTTGACGGTATCTGAGGGAGAGAAAGGAGAGAGAGAGAGATGGAAAATAGGGAGGGGGGTGGATGCGAGGGGGGAGAGACAGAGGAAACGAGAGAAGGAGGGAGGGAGGGGAGAGAGAAAGAAAGAGAAAGAGGGAGATAGAGAGAGACAGAGAGAAGGAAAGAGAGAGAGAGGGTTACCGATATTATGAAATATTCTAAATTTGCATACTGTCAAAGCGAATAAGCAAAACAAAAGAGAACAACAACAAAAATAAACATAAACATATAACCTCAAGGAACATAAACAAGACGAAAATAACGAAACAAAAACACTTAACACACAAAAAAGAATAATTACTACTAATAATAATTATAATAATAATAATAATAACGATAATAAGAATAATAAAAATAAATAATGATAATAAGAATAATAAAATAAATAATGATAATAATAAAGATAATGATAATGATAATAATAATAATAATAATGAATAATAATAATATATAGAAAAATAAGCATTACAAACACAGTCACGTCTGTTTCCCAGTCACAGGCTACTTATAACGACGTGTCTCCATGACCGAGAAAGGGAAGGACTTACTTACAAATCCGAGGACGTTACTATTGCAAGAAAAGGTGGGGGTGGGGGTGAGGGGGGGAGGGGGAAGGGGGGACTGAAAGAGGGAGAGGAAGAGGGGGGAGAAAGAGGAGGGGAGGGTGGAGAGGAGGAAGATAAGAAAAGGGTGGATAGAAAGTGAGAAAGGGAGAAAGAGGGGAAGAGGAAAGGAGAGATTGAAAGAGGAAGATAAGAAGGAAAGGTAAAAAAGGGGGGGGGGAAGTGTATGGAAAGATAGGAAGGTAAAGAAGAAAGAAAGGGTGAAGGGAGAAGGAAAGAGGAAAAGGGGAAGAGAAAGGGGAGATGGCAAGGGAGGAGAGGGGAAAAGGGATAAGAAATTGTAGGAAAGGAAGAGAAGGGAGAAAGAGGGAGAAAAAAGAGATAGACGAAGAGGATGGAGGCAGAGAGAGAGGGAAAATGAAAGAGAGAACGGACAGAAAAAAATGGGATAAAAAGGGAATAAGAAAGGAAGGGGATAAAGAGGAGAAGAGGGTAAAGGATGAGAGAAAAAAAGAGAAAGAGACAAATGAAGAAAAACAGAAAGGAAGAAGGCAACCATGAAGGGGGGAGGAAAGGGAGGAAGAAAAAATCTAAAAGAAGAAAATAGAAACAAAGAGAAGAGAAAAAAAGGAAATGAAAGAAAAAAACAACAGAAACAAAACGAAATAAAAGAAAAATCAGTAATAAAAATAATAAAAGAAAAAAAACGAAACAAAAGACAAGAAACAATAAAAGGACCAAAAAAATAAATGAATACAAGACAACAAAAGAGAAGAGATGTGAAAACGCGAAACAGGACGAGAAGATAGAAAGAGCAAAGAGAGCAGATAAAGGAAGAGAGAGAAGTGAAGACGCGAAACAAGACGAGAAAAGAGAAGAGATAAAGGAAGAGAAGTAGAAAGGGAGAGAATTGAAGAGAAAAAGAGGGAGGGAGGGAGGGAGACAGACAGACAGAAAAGAGACAAAGAGAGAGAGAAGGGAAGATAAGAGGGGCAAGGAAGAGGGAGAGAGACAGTCAGACAGAAGAGAAGAGAGAGAGGGAAGGAGGGAGACAGTCAGACAGAAGAGAGACAAAGAGAGGAAGAGAAGAGAGAGTCGGAAGGAGGGAGATAGTCAGACAGAAGAGAGAGAGACCGATAGAGGAAGAGAAAAGAGACAGACAGATAGAGGAAGAGAAGAGAGAGAGATAAATAGATAGAGAGCGAGAGCGTTCACAGAGTCAGCGACGCACTTCTCCCAAGTACATCTCCCTCGCCGAAAATCATCTTGCAAATTGTTGAATATTGATGCTCCGTCATGAGTATGCGCGAGGAGAGAGCAATACGAGGCCGGCGGGTCTCGGTCTCTCATTCACCTCACGAGCAGGAATATCATGTGAGGTTGTGAGGTAACAGTTCACTCTCGATTTTTATTTTTCCTTTTTTTTTATATTTTTTTTTTTTTACTTTTTATGTTGTTGGGGAGGGGGAGGGGGGGTTGAGTAAGGGGGTGGGGGTAGGGGGACGTGGAGGTGTGTAGGGGTGAGGGGAGGGAAAGAGGAGGGGGTGGGGGAAGGATCGGAGAGGCAGTGGAGGGGGTAAGGGGGGGGGGGGTTAAGGGGGTGATTCAAGGTCTTTATCAAAGGCTTCTCTTGGGCTTTCAGTATTGCGTGTATACACTGTGTGTGTGTGTGTGTGTGTGTGTGTGTGTGTGTGTGTGTGTGTGTGTGTGTGTGTGTGTGTGTACTGCATTTATGTATGTACAACGAGAGAGAGAGACGAGTACACACACACACACACACACACACACACACACACACACACACACACACACACACACACACATCTATCTATCTCTCTCTCTCTCTCTCTCTCTCTCTCTCTCTCATATATATATATATATATATATATATATATAGAGAGAGAGAGAGAGAGAGAGAGAGAGAGAGAGAGAGATAGATAGATGTGTGTGTGTGTGTGTGTACTCGTCTCTCTCTCTCGTTGTACATACATAAATGCAGTACACACACACACACACACACACACACACACACACACACACACACACACACACATCTATCTATCTCTCTCTCTCTCTCTCTCTCTCTCTCTCTCTCTCTCTATATATATATATATATATATATATATATATATATATATATATATATATAAACTTAAATATCCTCGATTGCATGTGCAGTATATTCATATTATTTCCCCGTTTGTGAAGGGATAAGTAACCTTTTAGGCATAATGTAATGTGTGACTGTGATATTTGACATTTAGAATTCCGATAACTTAACTATAGGTATAATTCAACTTTATTCGTGTATACCTGTAGGTAAAAAAAAAACGCACAGGAACGCATGCTCAGAATTATAAATCATTCTTAAGAGATATCGAATTATTATAACTCAGTGAAAAATAGTTATAGACAATATTGTAAAAATTTTCATGGGATACCAATGTTGAAACGGAGGCTTCTTGCAAACACACACCGTTTTCTATGCCGAGTCGTTTTGTACCCAAAAGAAAACGGGAAATGACTTGCCACTCTTTGCGTACTTAATGCCAGGTAAATCCCCCCCCTTCATTTTACATTATATGATTTGCTTAATGTGAAGGTAATGCGGTGTTCTTATATAACGGTTGTCATTTGAATAGTTTAGAAGCCAGGGTTCATTTCATGTACTTAGGCCCGAAGGCGTGGAGTTAGCGTTCCTGTCGGCGTGGATTTTGCTTAAATTATATTCCTTGGCCTATTGGCGTAATGAAATGGAAAAAAAACCCGGCTCAAGGTTTTTTATCTTTACTGCTTTTTCAAGCTTTTAAGTTGAACGCAATGCACTTATACATAGTCGTTTGTTTTTGAGACAATGTGATTAAACCAACAATCTACTTGGCTATAACTTGGCGTCATACTCGATGAGCTATTGGCGTACCCCCGGCGTGAGTTTTATACAGAATGCACCCTGGTTTAAAGGGGTTTATTGATGATAATGTTAGGTAATCCGTATACGGTCTCGTATATCTGAACATGTTTTCATCGTGTTTTATAGTCTATCGTAGTTTGGGATTTTAAATGTGTAAATATATGTGTAGTATTTAAATTATTTATAATCATGATTCTGTTGTTGTTTTTTATCACCATCATACATTTTACAATACTTTAGATTTCAGGAAAGAAGTATAACTATGTATTTATGTACAGTATATGCTTATACATATAAACATATGCATATATGCCGATACACGCACGCACACACACACACACACACACACACACACACACACACACACACACACACACACACACACACACACACACACACAAACACACACACAGATAATCAACTATGGAAAAAAAAACCTAACTAGGCCCGTTTCCCTCTGCAGATGGCGCCGCAGGGACCCACGATCAACAAGTGGTCTGTTACTTGGCCTCGTGGTCCGTCTACCGACCGGGCGCTGGGAAATTCAACATTGAAGATATAGACCCGACGCTTTGCACGACTCTGATCTATGCTTTCGCTGGACTGGATGAGATAACGTTTGCCATGAAGCCGATAGATCCGAGATATGACGTCAAAGGCAGTGAGTGACGTTTGGGCTGTGACGTCATTGTTGGGATTGTTTTGAGTTTTTTGAGTTGTGACGTCATAGATGGTTACTTAATCGGTTTGTTGATTGTAACTGATTTGAAATTAATGTAAAGAGAGTACATTGAATAAGTGAATAAGTTCATATTTATTTTCTTTGTTTTTGTTTACTTCATACCTATTCATCTAATTAACACATTCATTATCTGTCTGTATATCTACTTTATATAATGTATATTTGTATACCTACCAACTTTCCTCCCATCCTGTCTATCTATCTACCTGCCTATCTATCTTTTTGTTTATATGTCTACCTACCTTTCTATCTATCTGTCTATATATACCTACCTACCTACCCGTCTCTCCCTCACTCCTTCTCTCCTTCCTTTCCTCCCTCTCTCCTCTTTCCCTCCCTATCTATTTATCTTATCTCTTTCTCCCTCCCTCCCTTCCTACCTACCTACCTACATAACTCCCTTCCTTCCTATCCACCTATCTATCCCTCCCCCATCCTTCCGTTCCTCACCTCCTTTCTTCTTCACCTCTATCCCTCCCTCTCTCCTTCTCTCCCTTCTTCCCTTACACTCTCCCTATCTCTCCTTCCCTCCCTTCTTCCCTTACACCCTCCCAAACCCTCCTTCCCTCCCTACCCCTCCCCCATCTATCCGTCCCTTCCCCTTCCCCAGGAGCCATCGAGCGCACGGTGGGGCTGAAGGCGCAGAACCCTCTCCTGAAGGTGGTGGCGGCCGTCGGCGGCTGGACGGAAGGCTCCACCAAGTACTCGGCGATGGCCCGGAACAGCACCGCCAGGAGAGCTTTCATCGACTCGGCGGTCGGGTTCATCCAGTGAGTGATTTTTTTTTTTTTTTTTTTTTTGGGGGGGGGGGGAGTGGGAAGTGGGACAGGGGGAATGGGGATGGGTTGGGAAGTGTAACGGGGGAAGGGAGGGATGGGGTGGTAACTGTAGTTGTAAATAGAGATGTATTTCTAGGGGAGAGGGTATGTTTATATATCTGTAGATATAGGTATAGGTGTTTATGTGTATATATGTTATATATATATATATATATATATATATATATATATATATATATATATATTTGTGTGTTTGTGTGTGTGTGTGTGTGTGTGTGTGTGTGTGTGTGTGTGTGTGTTTATGTATATGTATATGTAAATGTGTGTATGTATGTATATGTATTATACATATACATATATATATATATATATATATATATATATATATATATATATATATATATATATATATATATATAATGTATATAATATATATAATTCTAATATACGTACACACATGTCAACATATACAATTTAGAGACACACTTCCGATGCATAAACCATGTCACTTGCCACCAGTTAAAAGAGCAAAATTCAAGTTTGTGACCTTGACTTTTCCCTCCTGCCAACACGCGGCCACAGAGAAAGCGGAAACTCGCCATCACAGTCTTATAACGTACGTCACCATCACCAGCAACACTATCACTGTCACCATCACCATTATCGTCACTATCACCACCAACGACAGTAACAACACCATCACTGTTACCATCACCATCATTGTCACCATCACCGTCACTATCATCACCACCAATATAAACAACAACAATATTAATACTACCGCCAACAATAACAATAACAACATCAACAACAACAACACTACAATTAATAAAGAACAGAATACAACGACCATACATGTCGGCCCCCCCTCCTCCTCCCCCCCTAAAATATGATTCCCTTGACAATATAATTAAGACCATTAATATACAGTTCAACCCCCCCCCCACCCCTTAACCGACCTCCCCTCCCCCCCCACTATAATTTTCTTTTCCTTTTTCTTCCCTCAAATAACCCCGTCACCTTTCCCCTCTCCCCCCCCCCCAAAAAAAAAAAAAATCTCGAACAAAAGCTAAACCTTTCCCCCTGTCCCTTGCCTCCCCCCCCAAAAAAAAACACATTTCTCGAAAAAAAAAAGCTAAACCCCTGTCCCCCTGTCCCTTCTCCCTCCCCTCCCCCCAAAAAAATATGAATATGCATGCATTCCCCCCCCCTCAAAAAAAAAAAAAAAAAATCTGACAAAAGCTAAACCCTTCCCCCTGTCCCTCCCCCCCCAAAAAAAAAGCTAAACCCTTCCCCCTCCTCCCACAAAAAAAAAAAGAATATGCATACCCCTCCCCCCCCCAAAAAAAAACATTTTTCAACAAAAAAAGCTAAACCCTTCCCCCTCCCCCCCACAAGAAAAAAAAAAATGCATACATCCCCCCCCACAAAAAAAAAAAAAAAAAAATGCATACATCCCCCTCCCCCCCTAAAAAAAAAATGCATTTCCCGAACAAAATCTAAACCCTTCCCCCTGGCCCTTCTCACCCCCCCCCCCCAAAAAAAAAAAAAAAAAAAAAAAAAACATTTCTCAAACAAAAGCTAACCCCTTCCCCCTGTCCCTCTTTCTCTCCCCCACTCCCCCTCCCCCCCCCAAAAAAAAAAAAAAAAAAAAAAAAAAATCCCGAACAAAATCTAACCTCTTCCCCTGTTCCTTTCCCTTCCCCAGGCAGTACAACTTGGACGGGCTGGACTTGGACTGGGAGTACCCGGCCACGAGGGGAGGCGTCCCGGCCGACAGGGAGAATTTCGTCCTTCTGGTAAAGGTGAGAGTTTGGGGCAAGAAAGTGCTCTGTCCGTCATTATTGTTATCATAGTAAATTTATTCCTAATTTTACCAGTATTCTTTTTACTTTCTTATTTCCTTATTCTGTCTTTTTTTTTCTTTTTCTAATTCTTCCTCGTTTTCTTCTTTTTTACCACGATCTTCTTTTCGTTCTTCTTCTCCGTTTTCTTCTCCTTCGCTTTCTTCTCCTTCGTCTTCTCCTCCTTTATTTATTTACTTATTTTTGTGAATTTTGTTACATACAGATGGCTCTTTGTGTGCTCAGCCGGTAAGGAGTCTATCAGTAGGCCATAGTTACCGATCCTGATTTCCCCATTCCTTGAATTGGCGGGAAAATGTGTTTTTCTTTTTTTAGTACAGTTGATATCGATGCTGTTATTATTGTTATTGATGTTAATGATTATTAAATTGATATTCAAATCTCGATGACATTTAGGACAATGAAGTAATGCAAAGTAATTCCAAAAGTCGAGGAAATAGGTAAACAGGTGAGATAGGTAGGACTAATAACTGAATCCTTGGTGATTAAGCACTTGTAGAGCCATCTATGTGTAAATGCAATAAATAAACTTGTATTACAGCACGTATTCTTGCCATACGTGCCGATTGGGTTAAGTACAGTAACACCTGATTGAGATGAAGAATATAAAAACACACTGTAAGTGAAGTTGGAAATACGTGAAGACATTTAAACAAACAAACAAACAAAGCTCTAAAATACGGCCACAGTAAAACATATACAACACTACCATATAAAAACAAGGAAAACAACAACACTATTCTAACTTTCTTCACACAAACAAATCCATTACAGAACAATAACACTGTTTAAAGACAGAACAATAACATCTTAAGAAGAACAGAAAAAAAACACGCAGTATTTCCTCCCTCTCAGGCACGCCTCGGATTCTCTAGGTACACTGACATGTAAATTGTACATCAATGCAATACAATAATAACACTGATAAGTGTATGTCTTTTAAATTCATCTTCTCGACTATATATATTCTTTTTAATTAGTCTGTAACATGGCCGTGAATACGATAAATAACATTTCTAGTAGCAGCGTCAAGTAATCAACAAATATACAGACGTATCAATGCAAAACAATAGCAAAATTTAAAACCACACGCAAAAAAAAAATAATAATAATTAATTAATTAATTAATAATAGATAAAAAAAAAACAATACTTACCTCATACATCAAAAAGATCCTAAAAAAAAATCCACTTCCTCCTACACAGGAACTCAAGGAAGAATTCTCCAAGTACGGCTGGAGCCTCACCGCCGCCGTGGCAGCCGACCAGGGGATTATCGGCGTCGCTTACAACATCCCGGAACTCAGCCAATACCTTGACTTCATGCACATCGCGTCGTACGATTACCACGGCAAATGGGACGGTCGGACGGGCCACAACGCGCCCCTGTACCCGAGGGACGACGAGAGCGCCGCGGACAAGATGCGCAACGTGGTAAGGAGTGGCGTGGGTTTCTTCTGCAGGGGGAGATCTCGCACGTAGGAAGGGGTGATGTACAAAGTGGTTTATGAATGGGGCTTGGCTTCTTATGGTCTGCGTTAAGGGAGGTGATGTATAAGGCAAAAATAAATGTGAGTTGGCTTCTTATGGTCTGTGTTGGGGAAGATTATCTACTAGTTTGCTTTTAAATGGAGCTTGGTTGAGGAACTGATCTCCGCATTTCTCTTATGGTCTGTATTGAGGAGGGAGGTTATATCCTAGGCCGCCTTTATATGGGGCTTGGCTGAGAAATTGGTCTTTGTGATGCTATACTGATCTCTGCTGAAAAAAATAAGGTTGTGTAATAGGCTTCACTTCATGGATGCTTGGATTGGCAGGATTGCATGTAAAATTTCTTTTGGATTGTGACAGAGATTCGTGCAATGTTTATTCGTGATCTAGAGACTAATTGATTAGATTTTGTTAAGCTAGATTGCTGTATTGATTTGCAACGAAATTACGGAGTTCGTCACCACTGTAATCCACGATAGACAACAGGTCTTCTGACTTAAAATGTTGCAGTATACAGTTGCTTCTGCAGGCTTTGACATTTCTTAGGGATGTTTATTTCGGTTGTGTAAAATTCTATTTGTTACTTTTTTTGCGAATTTTGTAATGCTTTGGTTTAGTTAAGATTTATTGCATGCTACAAATAACTTGGTATGGTTGATTTTATTTTTTATATTTTGTTCAATTTATGATTATTATAATGAACCCCATCACCAATATCATTATAATCATGAACACAGTCACTGTGGCCCTCTTAATGATAATTTCTAATTAACCTGTACCTCTCTCCCCCCTCCCCCCACCCACTAAGGAATACACCGTCAAGATGTACCTCGACGCCGGAGCGCCTCCAGAGAAGGTGGTCCTTGGCCTAGGATTCTTCGGCCGGTCCTACCTCCTTCAGGACCCAGCCAGCAACAGCATCGGCGCGCCCTCACTCCCTACGGCCTTCGCTGGACCTTACACGAAGGAGGACGGCTTCCTTGGCTATAATGAGGTTAGGCTCGGATGGGATGGGTTGGGTAGAATTGGAATGGGTTGGGTAGAATTGGATTGGGTTGAGTCGGAATGAGTAGGGTAGAATTGGAATGGGTTGGGTAGAATTGGAATGGGTTGAGTCAGAATGAGTAGGGTAGAATTGGAATGGGTTGGGCAGAATTGGAATGGGTTGAGTCAGAATGGGTTGGGTAGAATTGGATTGGGTTGAGTTGCAATGGGTTGGGTTGAGTCAAGAATGGGTTGGGTAGAATTGGAATGAGTTGAGTCAAGAATGGGTTGGGTAGAATTGGATTGGGTTGAGTCAAGAATGGGTTGGGTAGAATTGGATTGGGTTGAGTCAAGAATGGGTTGGGTAGAATTGGATTGGGTTGAGTCAAGAATGGGTTGGGTAGAATTGGATTGGGTTGAGTCAAGAATGGGTTGGGTAGAATTGGATTGGGTTGAGTCAAGTATGGGTTGGGTAGAATTGCATTGGGTTGAGTCAAGAATGGGTTGGGTAGAATTGGATTGGGTTGAGTCGGAATGGGTAGGGTAGAATTGGAATGGGTTGAGTCAGAATGGGTTGGATAGAATTGGATTGGGTTGGGTAGAATTGGATTGGATTGAGTCAAGAATGGGTTGGGTAAAATTGGATTGGGTTGAGTAAAGAATGGGTTGGGTAGAATTGGATTGGGTTGAGTCAAGAATGGGTTGGGTAAAATTGGATTGGGTTGAGTCAAGAATGGGTTGGATAGAATTGGATTGGGTTGAGTCAAGAATGGGTTGGATAGAATTGGATTGGGTTGGGTAGAATTGGATTGGATTGAGTCAAGAATGGGTTGGGTAAAATTGGATTGGGTTGAGTCAAGAATGGGTTGGGTAGAATTGGATTGGGTTGAGTCAAGAATGGGTTGGGTAGAATTGGATTGGGTTGAGTAAAGAATGGGTTGGATAGAATTGGATTGGGTTGGGTAGAATTGGATTGGGTTGAGTCAAGAATGGGTTGGGTAGAATTGGATTGGGTTGAGTCAAGAATGGGTTGGGTAAAATTGGATTGGGTTGAGTCAAGAATGGGTTGGATAGAATTGGATTGGTTGGGTAGAATTGGATTGGGTTGAGTCAAGAATGGGTTGGGTAGAATTGGATTGGGTTGAGTCAAGAATGGGTTGGGTAGAATTGGATTGGGTTGAGTCAAGAATGGGTTGGGTAGAATTGGATTGGGTTGAGTCAAGAATGGGTTGGATAGAATTGGATTGGGTTGGGTAGAATTGGATTGGGTTGAGTAAAGATTGGTTGGGTAGAATTGGATTGGGTTGAGTCAAGAATGGGTTGGGTAAATTGGATTGGGTTGAGTCAAGAATGGGTTGGGTAGAATTGGATTGGGTTGAGTCAAGAATGGGTTGGGTAGAATTGGATTGGGTTGAGTCAAGAATGGGTTGGGTAGAATTGGATTGGGTTGAGTCAAGAATGGGTTGGGTAGAATTGGATTGGGTTGAGTCAAGAATGGGTTGGGTAGAATTGGATTGGGTTGAGTCAAGAATGGGTTGGGTAGAATTGGATTGGGTTGAGTCAAGAATGGGTTGGGTAGAATTGGATTGGGTTGAGTCAAGAATGGGTTGGGTAGAATTGGATTGGGTTGAGTCAAGAATGGGTTGGGTAGAATTGGATTGGGTTGAGTAAAGAATGGGTTGGGTAGAATTGGATTGGGTTGAGTAAAGAATGGGTTGGGTAGAATTGGATTGGGTTGAGTCAAGAATGGGTTGGGATAGAATGGTTGGTGAATTGGATTGGGTTGAGTAAAGAATGGGTTGGGTAGAATTGGATTGGGTTGAGTCAAGAATGGGTTGGGTTGAGTCGGAATGGGTTGGGTTGAATTGGATTGGGTTGAGTCGGAATGGGTTGGGTCGAATTGGATTGGGTTGAGTCAAGAATGGGTTGGATAGAATTGGATTGGGTTGAGTAGAATTGGATTGGGTTGAGTCAAGAATGGGCTGGGTAGAATTGGATTGGGTTGAGTCAAGAATGGGCTGGGTAGAATTGGATTGGGTTGAGTAGAATTGGATTGGGTTGAGTCAAGAATGGGCTGGGTAGAATTGGATTGGGTTGAGTCAAGAATGGGTTGGGTAGAATTGGATTGGGTTGAGTCGGAATGGGCTGGGTAGAATTGGATTGGGTTGAGTCAAGAATGGGCTGGGTAGAAATGGATTGGGTTGAGTCAAGAATGGGTTGGGTAGAATTGGATTGGGTTGAGTCAAGAATGGGTTGGGTAGAATTGGATTGGGTTGAGTCGGAATGGGTTGTTCTTATATTAGCCATTGTATCCATGAATTGCTCCAATCACTAAAACAAACAAGAGAATAATATCTCATCTTAGAGTTATATTCCTTGTCGTTCCCTGATGCATACGACATATTTATCCTTTTCCAAACACTTTTTGAACCAGTACACGTAAAATTCTCTAGATCTATCGGGGGATATATGGCTTTTTGCTCTTGTCGAGATGTTCCCAAACAACTGTAGTAACATGGTTTCATATTTATCCCTATGTCACTTTTTCTGTCCTACTTTCTAGCATTCTTTCCTACCCTTCTTGCTTATTTTCTCTACCTGCCTACTCTGTGCTGTGTGGTGCAGGGTTGCAGACAGACTGTTGCGCCAAGAATAACCATTGTAACACATAGAGTATAACTAAATTATGATTATTACCATTATCTCCCAACCAGATCTGTGAGAAACAAACCCTCGAACAAGGACAGTGGACCCTGGTCTGGCAGAAGAGCCACCAAGTTCCCTACATGTATCAGAACAACATGTGGATATCCTTTGATGACGCAATGTCCATTGGACTCAAGGTCGCTTTTGCACAGAAACTCGGGTTGGGCGGCATCATGGTTTGGTCTGTCGACACTGATGATTTCAACGGTACTTGTAGTCAGACAGGGATGAAGTGAGTTCTAATTTTGATGTATTGTTTTCATATGGTTGTCATTAATTCTGTATAAGGTGTCATGTACTTTATAGGTGTTGGCAAAGGTTTGCTCTCTGATTACTTAAAAGTTGATTTTGTAATTGCTATTGTCTTTAATGTATTGTTACTGTAGCTATGATTATTGTCATTATAATGACAGCAACTGTTATTGTTTATATATATGAATAATACAGTCAAGTTAGTTTACAAATTTTATATTTGTTTTTTATAAATGGTCATCTAATATTTGGGTATTACACTTAACCCCTTGTATCAAAGGAAGTTAAATGCAGTCTCAGATGTCATAAACTTAGTGAAGACTGTATCATTACAGTTGTTAGTATTCATATTAATGTTGATACTATAGTAGTAGGGATGATTGTTTTTTTAATGCTTTTTCCATTCATGCTCCAATTCCAGATATCCTCTCTTAAACGCTGTGAAGAAAGCCTTGTCATCTCACACAGCCATGAGACCAGCTTCAAGCATCAATGACAGCATTTCAGAACACCAGCTTGAACAAGAACCACAAGCTGTTCCAATTGATAGCACTGTCTCTGAACTCGAACAAGAAGCACACGTTGTTCCTGATAATACTAGTATAATTGAAACCGAACTTGAAGGAGAGCCTCAAGGTATTTCAGTCAACAGCAGCATACCTGAAATAATACTTGAACAAGAACCACATGATGTCGCAGACAACACCAGTGTATCTGTACCACAATTTGAAGAACCACTCAGTGCTACAGACAACACCAATGTATCTGAACCACTTTTTGAAGAACCACACAGTGCTCCAGACAATGCTAGCCTGTCTGAACAAACTTTTGAAGACCTACAAGCTGTTTTAGTCAATGACAGTGTGTCTGATGTAAAACCTGAAGAATCACAAAGTGTTCCACTAGAAGGCATTGTATCTGAGATCAAACCTGAAGAACCTCAAGATGTCTCAGTTGATGGCAGTGTATTGGAGGTGAAACCTGAAGAAGAACCACATAATGTTTCAGTTGACGGCATTGTACCTGAGATGAAAACCGATGAAGCCCATGCTGTTCTAGTCGACGGCAGTGTTCCTGAGGTGAAAGCTGAAGAAGAAACCCATAATGTTTCAGCTGATGGCGTTGTATTTGAGATCAAACCCGAAGAACCCCATTCTGTTCCAGTTGACGGCAGTGTGCATGAAATTAAACCTGAAGAGCCACATGGTGTTGAAGTCGATGGCAGTGTGCATGGAATTACACCTTCAGAGCCACATGGTGTTCAAGTCGATGGCAGTGTGCATGAGATTATACCTGAAGAACCACATAATGCTCAAGCCGATGGCAGTGTGCATGGAATTACATCTCAAGAGCCACTTGGTGTTCAAGTCGATGGCAGTGTGCATGAGATTATACCTGAAGAACCACATAATGCTCAAGCCGATGGCAGTGTGCATGGAATTACATCTCAAGAGCCACTTGGTGTTCAAGTCGATGGCAATATTCATGGAATTACACATGACGAGCCACACGGTGTTCAAGTTGATGGCAGTGTGCATGGAATTACACCTGAAGAACCACAGATTGTTCCCATTAACAGCAGCATACCTGAGATGAAACCTGAAGAGGAACTACAAGGTTTTGGGTTCGAGGTAAGACCTGAAGAGCCCCACGGCACCCCAGCCAACCCCAAGTTCCTGTCGCCTGAGGGAAGATCCATTGCCTTCGAAGTCATTGACACGGAATCCATTCTGAACGGAACAGAGGAGGACCTTACCAGTGTCATGCAGACGTCGGTTATGCCTGAAATGGGTGAACAGAGTACGGTGGAGTCTATGCCTGAGATGGAAACTGACAGTTCAACCATGTTTATGCCTGAAGTGGATGAACACAGCTCCACAACAGCTATGCCCGACATGCCAGAACACAGTACCATGACCTCCATGCCTGATATGTTTGACACGGAGGAAAACAACACGATGGTCTCAACGCCTGAAATGGAAGAAAAAATGACTTCAACCTCAATCTCAACTGACTTGGACGACCTGCACAATATATCACCCACACCCGATATAAATGACCTGCAGAGTATATCAATCGTCCCTGACCTGCATGACCGCAAGCACATGCCATCCACAACCGAAAAGGATGTTATGCACAGCTTTACGACGCAGAAGGAGATAGAAATCCATAGTGTTACCAAGCCGACGTTCGAACTCGGGGACAAATCTGTGGATACGAACACTTTGGGAGATGTGAAGCAAGCCAACAAAGGAAGGTAATGAAGGAGAGGGAATAAAAGAGAGGAATGCGGAATTGTTTTTTAAAAAGTAGATGGATAGATTGCAGAAATAGATGAATGAAGTGATAGAAAAGTGGCTTTGTAGTGTGATAGTTGAATAGATTTTTGATGAATGAATCGATAGGTAAGTAAATACTTGATTAATTTAATTGTTAGGTAAATAGATTATTGATGAATTGAATTGATAGGTAAATAGATTATTGATGAATTGAATTGATAGGTAAATAGATTATTGATGAATTGAATTGATAGGTAAATAGATTATTGATGAATTGAATTGATAGGTAAATAGATTATTGATGAATTGAATTGATAGGTAAATAGATTATTGATGAATTGAATTGATAGGTAAATAGATTATTGATGAATTGAATTGATAGGTAAATAGATTATTGATGAATTGAATTGATAGGTAAATAGATTGTTGATGAATTGAATTGATAGGTAAATAGATTATTGATGAATTGAATTGATAGTTAAATAGATTATTGATGAATTGAATTGATAGGTAAATAGATTGTTGAATGACTTGATAGATGAATAGATTGTTGATAAATGACTTGATAGATAAAAAGATAATATGGCAGATAGATTGATAGATAGCTGAGTAGATTGACAGATATTTGGATAGATACTTTACCGCACAGAGTAATGGGATAAATTTAAGGAATAGCTTGACCTTTATGGATAGTCGTATATACAGTTAAACGCAGTAAGCAGTAGACAGACAGGCAGACAGTTAAATAGAGTAATGAGTAGGAAAAGATGACGAAACAGAGAAAAGAAAATAGAAAAAAAGGAAAGTGAATTATCAAAATATATTCCAGATCAACCAGTCATATCATATGATTCCTTTTCTTCTTTTTCTTCCTTGTCTTTGTCTTCTCTTCGTCTTCTTTTTCTTCTGTTTTTTTTCTTCTGCTTCTGCTTCTTCGTCTTTTCTTCTCCTCATCCTCATTCTCATTTTCCTTTTTCTCCTTCTTCTCTTCCTGCTTCCTCCTTCTTCTTCTTCTTCTTCTTCTTCTTCTCCTTCTCCTTCTCCCTTTTCTTCTCTTCCTGCTTCTCCTTCTCCTTCTTCTTCACCTTCTCCTTCTTCTTCTTCTCCTCCTCCACCTCCTCCACCTCCACCACCACCTCCACCACCTCCTCCTCCTTTTTTCCTATCATCTATTTATTTATCTTATTTTCTTCTACATCACCCCCCTCCCCATACCCCACCCCACCCCTCCCTCCCCCCTCCACCCTCCTAAAAACCCGTCTCTGCCTTCCAGAACGAACTACCGAGGCGCACGAGGCGGTTCTGGCGTGTGTATTCCCGCGGCGTCGGCTCTGCTAGTACTGTTGGCGGCGGCGATGGCCCTGTGCTAAACCGGTCTCTTACTGATGTTTAGTTTTGGTGCCTGTAGATGGCGCTTTTTGTGTGTGTGTGTGTGTGTGTGATATTAGGCACTTGGGATTTTTTTTTTTCTGATTGTAATTATTGATTTATTAATATTATTTCTATCTATCTATCTATCTATAATAAATATTATTGGTTGAAAGTGGGGGGTGTTCTTTTATTTTTTGTTTCCTATCTTCGTGTTTTTTTGTTTTTTTTTAGATTTTGATTTTTGTTGTTATTTTTTTTTTATTCAGTTTTTTATTATTGTAGTTATTGTTTTATTGTTGTTCTGTTGTTATTGTTTACACTTTTTATTATTGTCAAGACAATTATTGTTATCCTTATTCTTATCACTTTTATTATTGTTTATCACAATTATTTTTATTGCTGTAATGTTTTTTTTCTCTTTGTTTTTGTTATTATTTTTATCAGTTATTATTTTTTTATGATTATTGTTATCGTTATTATTATAATGATGATTATTATTATTATCATTTGCATTTATATAGCGTTATTATCGTCAACAGACTAATCATTATTATTATTTTCATTATAATTATCATTTTGTTGTCATTGGTATTAGTATCATTATCATTATTATTAAGTGTGGTGTAATTATTACTTTAACTATCATTATAATCACCATTATTATTGACATTATTAGTACTATCGATATCATCATTATTATTATCATTATTACTAACATCATTATTACTACTATTATTATCATTATCATAAATATTCCCATATACATCAATATCATTACAAATAAGTAAATGATGAAAGAAGTAAGTACACGAGAGAAATTAAAATAATTGAAGATAATTATAAATGTTAATCAAAGTCACGTCTAATCAACAATAGCAAAGGAAGTCACAGCTTAATCCATGAAGGGGAAGATATGGTGTTAATTCGGTATTTCATTCCATAAAGAGAAAGAGAGAGGGAAAGGGAGAGAGGGAGAAAGGGGGGGTGAGAGAGAGAAAGAGAGGGTGAGAGGGGGGAGTGAGAGAGAGAGAGGGGCGGAGGGAGAGGGAGAGCGAGAGGGGGGGATGAGAAAGAGAGATAGAGAGGGGGGGAGAGCGAGAGAGAGTGGGGGGGGGGAGATAATGAGGGAGAGAGGGTGAGAAAGAGAGAGAGAGAGAGGATGAGAAAAAGTTAGAGAAAAAGAGAAAGAGAGGGAGAGCGAGAGAGAGAGAGAAAAAGAGAGAGGGTAAAAGAAATAAGAGAGAGAGAGAGAGAGCTACAGAAAGACTGAAACAGACAAAAATGTGCAAACACACACATACAAAGGCCTGAAAAAAGGAGAGCGAAAAAGGGTAAGGAATATAGACAAACCGGTAGAACGAGAGGGAAAGGCATAATGAATGAAGGAGAGAAAAACAAAGATTGAGTGAGTACGCGAAATAGATGGGGAGAGAGCGAGAGACGGAGAATGTGAGGCAGAAAGAGACTGGGTGACAGAGAGAGAAAACAGACCGAGAGAGAGAGAAAGAGAGACTGAGAGACAGAGAGAGAAAAAAAAAGAGAGAGAGAGACATAGACTGAGAGACAGAGAGAAAGAAAGAAAGAAATAGATAGAGAGAGAGAGAAAGAGACCGACAGACAGAGAGAGAAAGAAAGAGACAGAGAGAGAGAAAGACCTACTTAAACAAACTGGAAGTAAAGCATCTGGAATAAATACGTAATGACTCTTTATGCCGGACAATCAACTGTAACGTGACAAGAAGCAATCAACGATTCTCCCGTTCTCCCTACGTCAACTGGTCGTTATAAAAGCCATTCAGCCATTTTATAGGCTGGCGAATATGTCGTGAAATACAGATAAAATACAATACAAATAGTCAATATATATATATATATATATATATATATATATATATATATACTGTGTACATACACAAATGTATATATATATATATATATTATATATATATATATACTGTGTACATACACAAATGTGTATATATATATATAAATATATACACATACACATATGTATGTATATATAACATTATATATATATATGTATATATATATATATATATATATATATATATATATATATATATATATATATATATATATATATGGTCATCTTGAGGATGACCACTACCGGGGAATATTGTAGTCTGGCTTCGCTATGCAGATGACATCCATAGACTAAATGCAATGCGCCCTTTCATGCAGTTCATCACAGAAGATGAGATAAACAGCTTCCTTTCCTCGACACCTTAATCCATGGGAGATCTGACGGCTCGGTGTCAGAAAACCCACAAATAAAGAGGATTTTATACACTATTTCTCTGCCCATAACAATAGAACCAAAGAAGGCGTGGTCACTAGTTTCTTCCTCCGAGCGCTTAGAATCTGCAGCCCGGAGTTCCTGGAGGAGGAAATACAACAGGTCAGTAAGACCTTCCAACGCCTCCGTCACCCTCGCGCCTTGCTCGCCCACCTCCGACGCAAGGCAGAAAAGATCATGTCCAGATCAAGAGGGAACACCGCACAGAACACGACATATAGAATTATCGTCCCACACTCGTAGCTGACAGAACGCCTGGAGATACTGTTAGCTGCCACCTCTGGTAAGAAGATCGGAGATATCGTGAGGGAAAAGAGTTCAGACCACAGCATACCTCTTAGCCAGGTGTACAACATACCTTGCGGTTGCTGTGATAAAGTATGCATAGGTGAGACAGGACGAGGCCTCCACGAACAACGAATTGACCAACACCGCAGCGCCCTCCGACGACACGACACGAGGACCGCCTTCGTTGTTTACGTCGACACCGACGGCCATCTCCCTAAGTGGTCCCAGGCCTCCATCATAAAGCGAGGCCTGCCCCCACGACAAAGGAAGATGGTAGAAGCGGCATACATACACTCTACTAACAACTTCAACACCGCAACAGGGAGCCACGAATTAGCCAAGGTTGTCGCACGCCTAACTACCGACGTTGCCTGAACCGCTCAGTACATGTATATATACCTCTATGTATCTTTTGGCTTATATGCCCTTATGAAGCAGTAAATGCGAACAGGCCTTCGGCATATTCGCGTGTTCTCCTGTGCTTCCCTTCGCTGTTCTACTTGCAATTTGTGTTATTCATCAGTTGGTGGAAGTTCTCTTATTTCCCTTTACTAATAAAAGATGAAATAGTTAATTTTTCCCAAATACTAATAAATAACCAGTCTTTAATTTCAAAGTATTTGTGCGTGTGAATATTTGCGGTAAATCAATTGTAAACTTTCTCTCGTTTACGTGGTCAAAAATATATTATAAATCTATATATATACCGAATGATTTTTGTTTAAAGGATAATGCTGCTATCATGTATGTACTGTGTGAACAATACGTAGCAAGACCGGATGGCAGATTCACACCTCGGTCCAAGCAAATGCCTTTCTCCTTGCGCAGGATGCAGGTGCTGCCCTCCTTTCTCTTTTCACACAAGAATAAACATCCGCCCTCCAAGGAAACCGCCGCATAAAAGGGCACGTGCCTATGACGACGGGGGACACAGAGACACGGCAGACAGGCCAAGCGACACAGGGTCCAGCTCCACCGCCTCGTCCTCCACCCGGGGACACGGGGGTCTCTCGGGGGTCTCATATCTATCTTCAGAAATAAACCAGCAAGTTAAGACCCCTTTCATTGACCGCCCCAAGACCATCTCTGTTACGCTTACATCTAGTGGCTTGCGTGGTCACTTACGCTTACATACTGTACTAAAAATAATTATGATAGTAGTAATCAATTCCACTGCACGAATGTTTAGTATTATATATACACACATGCACACACACACACCAACACATATAAGTCTCTCTCTCTCTTTCTCTCTCTCTCTCTATCTATCTATCATACATACATATACATACACACACACACACACACACACACATGCATATATGTATATAGTAATAACAGAAATTACAACAATAATAAAATATAACAATGATAATTATATTAATAACAATAATAATTCTTAATTATTGTGTAAAAATAATAACAGTTAAAAACAATAAAGGATACAAATAGAGAAAATGATAGTAATAATTACTCATTATTATTATTATTATTATTATTATTATTATTATTATTATTATAATAATAATGATATCAAAACCAACAACAATGACAATAAAAACAATAATAATAGCAATAAGATAATAGAAAAGTGATGATGACAAAAGGGACCTATAATAATAAATTTATTCCTTTAATTAACTTAACTGAAGGGGAATCGAACGCGGTCCTTTTGAACGAAACTCAAGAGCGGTATTGGGTGAGCTACCGCGGCTCTGCTTGAAATTGCTCATTCGATATGTTTAAGGCACAAAGTCTGTGTGGATTGGGACAAGTGTGTGTGTGTGTGTGTGTGTGTGTGTGTGTGTGTGTGTGTGTGTGTGTGTGTGTGTGTGTGTGCGCGCGCGTATGAGTGCGCGTGCCTGTGTGCGTATGAGTGCGCGTACCTGTGTGTGTGTGTGTGTGTGTGTGTGTGTGTGTGTGTGTGTGTGTGTGTGTGTGTGTGTGTGTGTGTGTGTGTGCGTATGAGTGTGCGCGCCTGTGTGTGTGTGTGTGTGTGTGTGTGTGTGTGTGTGTGTGTGTGTGTGTGTGTGTGTGTGTGTGTGTGCGCGCCTGTGTGTGTGTGTGTGTGTGTGTGCGCGCGCGTATGAGTGTGCGCGCCTGTGTGTGTGTGTGTGTGTGTGTGTGTGTGTGTGTGTGTGTGTGTGATACTAAAAAAGTAAATTTAATAAAAGTGATAATGATGCAGTAAAATTAATTATTATTATTATTATTATCATTATAATTGTAGTAAAAGTGATGAAGATAATAGAGATGATAATAAAAAAAATACGATAGTGATAATGATAATATGAAATAGTAATAACAAAAACAATAACATCAATAATGTAAAAATAATCCCAAAAACAATCACAGTAATGATAATAATCATGATAATGAAAAGGATAATAAGCATAATAATAATATTATAAATAATGATAACACAAATGGTATTAATGATGGCAATAATAATAATAATAATAATGATAGTAGTAATAATGATAAAAGTTAAAATAATGATACAAATAACAATAGTAAGAGTAATGATAATAATAATAATAATAATAATGATAATAATAATAACAATAATAA